ACCAAAAAATTAAAAATTAAAAAACCTAGATAGATCGATATAGAGGCTATCGATAAGTCTTATATAAGAGTTGCATTCCCCCTATTTTGTTTAAGTTGATCAAAGACTTGTAGTTCAATTTTCCCACAATTATATGAGCAGGCCCTACTTTTCCGTTGACTTTAACATAGCCTTGCCTCCCTAAATGGTATCCTCATCCAGATTGGAGTGGACTGCAGCTTCGACCCCGCCCAAACAGGTCTGAACAGGATCCCCAGCGGGACTTGAACCATAACAGTTCGGCATCAAATTTCGACACTTTAACCACAAGTGACCTTGGGTTGCAGGGCAGATGTGCATTTCAAGGAGTGCCAGGCATTTTATCCACATCGCATTCTGTGGCGGAATTGTCGATGAAGCAGTTGTATGTGCTATAGCGAATTCATCTTATTTCATTTAATGAAAGCAAGGCTATGTGAAATTCAACTGAATCGTAAGGCCTACTCAAAATGATTGTGAGAAAATTCAACTATCAGTCATAGAGCAACTTAAACGAAATAGGGTGAATACCGCTCAAATGTGACTGACTCGTTATAACGACATTAACACATGTTTCTGCACGGTTGGTCAGGCATAGGACATCGGCATTATAAGCATCATCGCTCGAGGCCTGACAATTCACGTAATCCCATTTCTACAAAACACACCTGGTCAAATCGACAATGGCTCACCTTGACACCCGCCTCGGCAACCGCCTGCGTTAACTCAGTGCCTGACTCAGCCTCAAGTGCAATATCCGTTTTTTTCGTCATCCTGACTGAACCGAACTGGCAACACAATGCGAGGGTTGAAGGCGACTGTCAGTCCGTCAGTCCTTCCGTCGATCCTTCCGTCAGTCCGTTCCTGTTGACACAACGATGCAAAAGCCCATACAGAATCCAGCCGTCGCATCGACCCAATCGGTTGCTGAAGGCGACCAGACGAACACGACGGCCAGTGCCACGGCAACTCAGCGAGCACCAGAAGCACTGGAGGAAGAGGGAGCCGCCGCGTGACGGCAGACAGACGCGGGCATAATCTGCTCAATCAACTGACTTGGCACAAAAACGCCATATTCTCCATTCTCTCCCAATCAGCTCCGCCCCACCTTGCCCAGCTGGCCTGCCTGCCTGCCCCACCTTGTCGCCCTCTCTCCCTCCTCGTCCGTTGCCTGGCCGGCCGGCCGGCTGGTTCGCTATCTCTTCCTCTCGCCTTCACTATCGTGGATGCTTTCATTTATCAGGCCGCCTGTTATGCGTGCCGCCGTGGGCACGTGCTGGTGGAGGGGACGTCATGTCACTTAGTCATTTAGCCACTGAACGCAGTCGCATCCCACAATGGGTCTGGTCTCCTGTCGATCCGGCTGTCTGTCCAACCTGATCGGCTGGCGAAGCTACCAGTTGATTGGTCGACAGGTGACTGTCTCAGTCGTCCAGCCCAGCTTAGCCCAGCCCAGCCCAGCCCAGCCCAGCCCGGCCCGGCTCGGCTCGGCTCGTCTAGCCCAGGCCAAGGCGAGCACGTGTAGACGAGAGCGAAACAGCGAGACTACCCGACTGAGGCGGGAACGAGACTCTTCGACTGAGGCAGGAGCGAGACAGCTGGAGCTGGTGCGGCCGCGACGCTATCTGCCGCGCCTGTCTGGCCGGCGCGACGCGATCGATAGGCGACCGAAAAGGCGGAATATACACACACTGAGTGTGCACGTGTCTTTGTCTGCCGCATGGGGCGTGTGAAGGGTGCGTAGCGCAACGCGCTTGTGCCACACTCAGACGGATCCAGAGATCGGCCCGGGCAGGCCGTTTGTGCTTTGCTGGCCGGATTGGACTAACTAGGCCGGCCGATCTTGAACCTGTTGGACAAGCGTGCGTGCGTGCGTGCGTGCGTGCGTGCTGCTGGCGCGTCGTCCTCCACTGCTCTCACTGACCCTGACCGCAGCACAACATGTCCTCGTGGCTGTAGCCCTACCAGGCCTCTATCAGCTGACACAAACTCAGAAATGCCCGTCACGATTCGCCTCTCGAGTCATCCGCTGCCGTCGCTGCCGCCACCGCCCCTTGAGGCAGGACCGTCATTTCAGGCATTTCAGACAATCATTGAGGCTAACTCGCATTCCCATGTTGGCGCATGGGTTGCCCGTCTCGTTGCCAACTGGAAGAGGTAACTAGGCCTCCAGTCTTTAGTCCGCCTGGGTTTCGGGCCCAGATCTATCCGTTGCTGAGTGACACAGGCACAATCAAAAATATACTCTGGCCAAAAGATGATCAATCTTTATGTCAACTCCGCAGTCATGGGGTAGGCGAGGTTGGGATGCTCCGTCGCTATTGGTCAAGAGCCTCACCTGATCTGAGTTGGAATACACACAAATGTGTATGTATCTGTGAGGAAGGTGATGGTGATGGGGCTTCTTCTCTTCCGACCTGTCTTTGTTCACGGCCAAGGCTGTGTTTTTGTTGATGACAGTCTAGATATGCTATACTTCGGGAGAAGACCTAACATCGGATAGACACAAAAGCCTGTCCTCTCAGTCTGTCCGGTTGGTAGGCAACACGATGATGCCAATTCTTCTCCCCCTTGACGGGCCCTTAACATGAGCATGAGTTGAGGCAGTCGCAAATCAGAACTTATTCTGGCAGACCTAATGGTTGAGGCTGCCGACGCTCTCTCCTCTCACAAAACAAAGCAAGACAATGGAAACGCTAAAAAGGGAATAAGTAACGAAGCGCCAAGAGAAGGGTTCAAGAGAAAGGAAATAAGCAAAAATAATTGGGCAAATAAAAAGTTTGAAAGACAAGCAGGGTGGAAGGAACAAGAGACAAATTATGAGAACTAAGTAATAAGAAAGGAGAAACAACACGAATGAAGTAAGAAAATTGAAGAGATAAGCGGATGATTATAAACAATAGCCAAGAAAAGGAAGAAAAATGATAAATAAAATAAGAGTTGTATTCACCCTATTTCGTGTAAGGTGATGAAGGACTGGTAGTAGAATCTTCCCACAATGATATGAGTCGAGCTGACCTTTCCATTGAAATTCACATTTCCTTGCTTTCCCAAAAGTTGTTCTCATC